GTTTGTCCCGGCTGCATTTGCAGTCGATAATACCCTCCAATCCGCATTGGGCCAGCGTGGAGGGTCATGGCTCATCCTCCTTAACCATCAATAAGGAAGCCCCGAGCCCCTGCAGTGGGGACGTAAAAAGGCTGATGATGATGATGATGATTAACTTAAGTATGTCTTAACATAAAACTTAATTTGTAATCCGATTATAATTACTCACAACGTTACAACATTTAAAAATTTATTAATATAACAATATATTAGTGCTAGTTTATTTTGAGACGACACGTATGCAAGATAAGAAAAGGTAAGCTTTAAGAAAAAATGTCTAAGCCTTTACTAATGTAGAAAATATATATGTTCATTAGGTATTAAATGCATACTTTATTTTCTATGAAATGTATCATTTTAAGGAAGAATGCGCTATTGTTGTAAGCACCACTACAATGGAGGCGAAACTGGTGTTTATGGTTTTTGTAAATAGTTTTCCTTCTTATTGTTTAAAGTTGACCTTCGCCGGTGACATTGTTTATATATTTTTTTATTTGTGTCTTATCATTTATAATTCGCGGTTGTTAATATGTAAACTAAATTAACAAATCATAATTTAATCTAAGGAACATAAGTTATTATGTACGTAACAAAATATTATCACTGGAATTCCGGCAGTAACTTTGTACCAATACGTTTTATATTCTTATTTGCTGTGTTTTACAAATAATAAAACAATAAATACAAATAGTAAAACACATTAAATTAGAAGGCACGTGTTGCAATTTCATTTTATTATTCTTTCAAAAATATATTATTTATGTTGTTACTTTTGTTTTGCATAAATATAATATAATAGGTCATTTTTTTAACAAAGTTTATTTACATTTACTTAAATTTTGTAGGTACCATTTTGTTCGCTAACTTTTTGCCATCTTATAGGTAGGAACATGATCCTAGTGCTGTAGAATTTTTGAAAAATCTGCGACAAGTAGTTTTGGCAGTTCACGCGTGATGTTAACCTGACACTGTCTAAAGAATTCTGAAGAGATCGAAACAAGTGGAAATCTAAAGGTGCAAGGTCAGGACTATACGGCGGATGCTTTTACGTATCTTAGCCAAACTCTTAATTTTTGCTATGTGGCTAAAGATGTGTGAGATCTAGCGGTGTCATGATGGAAAACCACATCCCTTCTATTGATCATTTTCTCTCTCAACTTCTTGCTTTAATCTCATCAGTTGTCCGCAGAATTGATACTCCTGCCTGGCGGTAACAGCTGATAATGAATAAATTCAATCCCAACATACACACAGCATCACCTTGTTGCGATTTATCCAGGGTTTCGTCACAGTCTGTGAAGTCTGACCGATTACGACATTTTTCGCACGTTCTTTTCTTACGTGATCCATTTTACATCACGACTTATCTTCGAATGCGCCAAAACTGTTTTATAGTCAATTCTTAATTCTTCAGCTACGTCGTAATTACTTATATACCTATCTTGCTCCACTTTTTCAAAATGGCATCCATTTTATCCGTAACAGGGTGACCGGAGCGACGTGCATCTTTGTCATCAAAATTTCCGGACTGAAAACGTTTAAACCAAATTTGTGCTACTCTCACAGAAACTGCACTAGATATCATACCATAAACGTCACATTTTTTTTTCGCGGATTGCGTTGCATTTTGACAGTAAGAAATACAAATGAAAATTACACATTTTTCTTATTTGAATTCGGAGTTCTTTAAAATTTAAACTTTTTAAATATTCGGTATATTTAAAAAATTATACAAATGATACAGCCAGAAAGATTTTATTACAGGTTTATACATACTATATAAGTAAAGACTTTTCCCCAAACAGTAATAGTTACTAATTATTATAAACTAAAGGCGTCTTTCAATTATATATCAATTTAAAAGGTTTTTAACCTTTTGTTTGATTGTTTTATTTTTATAAAACTTATCGTTTCGAATTATAGACTCTAGTGAAAATATTCCGTAAAAAAAAAATAAATAAAAATGTTGTGCCTGATAATACTGTGGTGGGAATTGTTTACGTGACAGTCTCCATTACATATGACAGTGGCACGCGCCGACTGCTGGATAATATTACTCAATGATGTATGTCCTGCAATTATGTACCTGTGCATTAACAATAATAAGGATAAGATATTATTTCATCTTCATTTTTGTAATTATTCGTCGTTTAGTATTAAAACACAAATTAAATGTCATATAATTTAATGACTTATCAAATTTAGATAACGCTTCGTTATGTTTATTCCTGAACAATAAACGTGAAATGTAATTTTAAATTCAAATCAATAATTCAAATTCTTCTACTTCATGAATATGTAAAGGAACATGATTCTTCTTATCAACATAATTGTAGTTCGCATAGTCAGTGCCATGGTAATATCTCACAGACAGTTGACATGGTCATCGCCTCAATAGATGTCTTTGTGATAGTAATATGTTTTTTCCGTCGTTTTGTTATCGTTGATCTGTTGCATCATGGTCATGTAGCCATGTAGCCATATAGCAAATCGCCGTTAATATTCTGTTAACGATTGACATTCTCTTGAATAAAATAACAAGCATTATTATAAATAATAGTTTTTTATTCTGCAATGTTCAAATTTATAACTACTAATTTCGCAAAAATGTTGACAACTCCATGAATTTTCAGTAACCGGTGCCGCTTAAAAATGTATCGCGCGTGCGTATTACAGTAGCACTTAGCAAAGTTTCCCTCTGAGTTATAAACAAGACAGACATATTCTATTTATTCGTACAAATATTAAATTATTATAATAATAACAGAATTGTGAACTTAACAATTTCCAACAGTTAGTCTTAATTACTAAAATTGAGGAGAAAGATATTCATAAAAAAATATCGAGGCACATTTTGGGTTTTTCACTTTTTTTCACAGCGTCTTTGCTAAAAATGCTTGCTAAAAATGTTTGCTCTTAATAATAGTGTTTTTCGTAACGATTTTGAAATATTATTGATCAAATATAGAAAAAAAACTTATTATAAACCAAAAAACTGCGATAATAGCTTTCAATTGACTGTGGATTTCTCCTATATACGATAATATTATTGAACAAAATTTGAACCAGAATAATTATTACTGCATAAGTAATAATAAGTCTTCATAATTTTAAAGTATAAATTTATTATTATATTTCAATAAAACTGCTCAATTGCTAAAAAAATCGATCTCAGTTGGTTCGGCCTTATAGCGAGTTTGCTTGTGATTGTAAGAGGGATACTTAAACTTAAATATTTTAAGTTTAAGTACCTAATATAAAAGTTAATTTATTTGGTGAAATATTATTAATTTTTGCTGTTCTTTCTTATTTAATTTTTGATATGCTTTATTATATTATAGTCTTAGGTATATTTTAAATTGACATAAATATGCAAATAAACGATATTTCTGTCGGTTATAATAAAGAACGGTAGATAACACAGGAAACTTGTTTCTGCAATTATTGTCTTTGGTTTAGATGGTGGAACAAGGATAACCTAATTGGTGTTATTATGTATGGTGTTATCAGTACCTATTAGTACATTTTTAAAACACCAAGTATTTTAATAGTTTTCCATAGATTTGATTTCAATAGTATTTTTGATTTAGTTAGAAATGCGGTTTGTTTCAATTCTTCTCCAATAAATGTAAATCTCCTGTTTTTTTATTACTGTATATTTGTTTGATTACTGTATATTTGTCCATTAACTTATGGTGTGTACAATAAAGAGTATTACATTACATCCCCATGAAAATAAATTCGTTTCTTACGTATTGACTCTGAGTGTGCCAGGAACAAAGTAGATTTTTTAAGCATTTTTCATTAAAACATTATAAATATAAAATTTTACAAATATTAAATTCGTTTTTTTATTTGTTTCGAAAAAATGAGCCCAATTGTGATTATTCCTACAAAACATCATTGTTTTGCTTATATATGAGCAGAAACTAAAAGAATCGTATGTATTTATTCTAAATTGGGACGATGCTTCAAAATCATGCTAACGAAAATTTTATTAATAAGATGCTAATGCTAAAATTGTCTCAGAGTTTCGATATTTTGACTACTTATATCTTAAAGAGAAATTTGGAAAAAGCAATCAACATAACGACTGATGATGCAGCAAATCAGTTACACGGTGTAACTGAAACTAAAAATAACTGCGAAGAAATAAAAACTGTATCATTAACGAAGCTGTCTAAATACTTTAGGTATAAGGACAATGAGATACCGACTGTTACAATCATTGACTCTAAATACTTTAGGTATCATGATAATGAGAAACCGACTGTTACAATCATTGACTGTAACGTATACTTACCTACCTCGTCATTAAATCTAATTATATATTTATCATCCGTCGTTGGAGTAATTGTTGGAATAGATTTGTGCTTATATTTATTTCATTTGTCTTAACTGCCAACATTTTGCAATTTAGCCTATGAATCGTGATGACAAGCATCCAACGTGTATCTATTGTGTTTCTTTTGTTTGCAGATCCCTATATTATCATTCACCCGAAATTGTCTTACACCTAAACGCTTATGAGTGACTTTTTGAATATTATAAAATGTGTTGATGAAGTCCTTTAGCAATAATCAAAGTAATGAAGTAAAGGTTCCCAAGTTATCTGGTAATACTTGTGGAGGCTTGAGCTGATACAACTCAGCGGTCTATTAATTATTGAAGTAATTGCTATTTTGTCTAGAAACTGTTTGACGATCTAGGGCCCTCTGAATCCACGGGGCCCTGGACTTAAGCCTGCCGAACTCTTAAGTAGATCCACCCCTACTGGTAGTAGTTACGTACATATAGAATTCAGCTTCCACTAAATTTAATTTCTTTAATCAATTTGGAATACTACTTTCAAAGAATTAAGCTTCAAAATTGAAATCAGTTGTGTACTTGATGCAGTGACTCAATTCAAAATCAACTGTATAATTAGAATAGTTGAGAAATAATTCTCTCGTGATCTTCAGATGTCGAGTGCCAGAATGCGAGGGTTCCTACGGCGGTCAGCTGCAGCCAGGGAACTGGGGTGTGTGGGCGCTGCCCGAGAGTGGGGGTCGCTGCGAAAGGCTCCGGCCTCTCCCTCCACCAGCTTGTACCTCCGAGTCCTTTCATCAGAGCGAGACAGTTGCATGCACCTCCTGGGTGTATGAGAGTAATAACACAATCGTTGGAGAGGTATGTTACGTTAAACTGACGCAGATTAATTCTTTGTCTTCGATTTTTTTAACAGGACTTTGACCGATATAATTATATTCTGACAGGGCTTTAATATGATGTAGTTGTGAGGTAAATGATATAATGGTAATGTTTCAGTTCGACTTGGGGTGCCAGGAGTGGAAGAGGACCCTCGTGGGCACCATACACAGTGTGGGATTGTTCGCAGCCCTACCACTTACATCTTACATATCAGATACGTGAGTCTTTCACCATAATGTTATTATTCTATACGACAATCTTAAATCATAGAGCTATCAATAAACAGTATTAATGTACCTATTTGATGTTTTTTAAAAAAATAAATGAGTAGGATAAAGTGGGACACGGTGTTACAAAAAAAAAACAATCGACGATAAAAATTGCTGACTTGGATATAAACTTTAACAATCTCTCTTTACTAAGACTTATTAAAAATGACTATAAATTAGCAACAAGCTAATTTCAATTGCATATCAATAAAGTAAGTTGATTGTAACACTGTGCCCCGTATCTGGGGTACTCTGGTACAGGACAAGTACTTTTATTTTTTGGCATAAATAAAAATCAAAAGGTCATAGCTATTCCCTCCTATACATCTGTTTGCAACACCATGAAATAAATATTCTTTTCATTTGGTGCCTTTCGAAGACTTATCCCACTTTGGTACATCAGAGTCACTTCTCTCTTATTTCTTTCAGTATAAAGTTCGTGATTTGTCTTTCTATTATGATTACATTATCATTTTCTTTTAAAATCTTAGTACAAAACAAACTAGAAATTTGGCTGGGGACTATTGTTGCGGTGTATCACAGTGCCCCGTAACACAGTGCCCCAGATGGACACGCCATATAAAAAAGAAACAAAAGAATAACAGAGATTGTGTTTACAATAAACAATAAAACGATAATATGAAGCTAAAAATCAGTTAATACATGTAAACCTTAATCACTTACCTAAATGTTATATTATTATGGTCATCAACCCTTTTAGGTTTCCACTGCGGGGGCTCAGGCCTTCCTTTTGTTTTTACCTTAAACTGTATACAAACGTTAAAAAAATAATGATAGGAGGATATACTCCATTTCCTCCTGTCATTACTTTTTTTGAATTGGAAGACTGAGCCTCACCTTATCCTATATTCTCTCGTTTATAATTGAGATTTTCACAAACAAAGAAGGTTGTAACATATGTCGTTGGTTATATTAAATAAATAAACAAATAAGGTTCAAAAATGATGAATCGGTATAAAAAATTGAAAAGAACTTTCCACTTTTCTATTCAAAGGCTTCGAAACTGCTGGCCCGATTTGGAAAATTCTTTCACATACGGCAAGCTGCATCATACGCTCATTAAATTAATTTACGCGGTTATAATTCACGCGAGCAATTCAGTTCCTGGTTCATGTAAACAATGTATATGTTATAGATTCGGACGACGCACGGCCGTGGTGCTGACGGCGGTGTGCGCGGGCTTGATGGGCCTGATACGCTCCTTCTCACCCAACTACAGCATGTATCTCGTGTTCGAGTTCCTGGACGCCACTCTTGGCTCGGGCGTCTACAGCTCAGGATTTATTCTCGGTACATAATTTACAACGTTGAATTAATACAATCGCTATATTATATAAAGTTTTTATAAAACTTCGTGATTTATGAGGAAAGTTTATCAAACTGAATGGACAGTTTTATTGTAGGTAGTTAGTAATAGTACGGTATTTAATTATGTATTTGAAACATAATTAAATACACGACAAAGTAAAGTAGCTTTGATCGAAATCATCGAAATGAATATATAAATTCATCATCATTATCATCAGCCCTTTTACGTCCCCACTGCAGGGGCTCAGGCCTTCCTTATGGATGGTTAAGGAGGATAATATATAAATTATTTTTACATAATTAATATAGATATTATAAATGATAATTTGCGAAATATATAATATTAAAACTAGTGCGATAATGTTAAAGTTTTCCTTTTCAGCATTAGAAATGGTAGGTTTGAACAGACGGGTGCTCGGCGGGAACATCATCTCATGCTCCTTCGCCTTGGGTCAAGTGGTACTCGCCCTGGTTGCATGGGGCATCCCTTACTGGCGCACTCTCACCAGAGTTCTCTACGCTCCGTCATTACTATTTATTTTCTATTTCTTCGTCTTAGAAGAGAGCGTGCGATGGCTGTTAAGCAAAGGCAAAAAGAAAGAAGCTGCTAGAATAATATTCAAAGCTGCTGACATAAACAATAAAAAACTAAGCTCTGAAGCGGTTAGACAACTAACACAAGAGAAACAGGATCAGAAAGATAGTGTAGAAACGCATAAAATATCAGAAAATGAAGAAAAACTGCCATCACTTGCGATGCAAGTTGTAAAATCTAAAATTTTAATGTCTCGTTTATGTGTCTGCTCGTTTTGGTGGATCACAACGACTTTTATATACTACGGTTTGTCTATAAATTCTGTGTCACTCGCGGGGAACAGTTATCTGAACTACATTCTGACGTCTCTGGTGGAGATTCCTGGATATTGCCTCAGTGTGCTGTGTCTCGACAGGTTCGGGAGGAAAGGGTCCATTATGACGGCATTCTTCATTTGTGGCACGTCACTCGTCGCCCTTCCGTTTATCCCATCTCGTAAGTTATCCTCTTATTTTTTTATTTTTTAACTTGATATGCAAATATTAGTTTAATATGAAGTTTTTTATAGGATCTTTACAAATTTGAAGATTATCTCTGGTAAAGCTTTTTTAAGGAAAACACCAAGATATTTCCTGATAAATTACTTTGATATACCGATTTTCGCCAAGTAAAAGAACGATCATAATTTTGTTTGTTCCAGACTTGGTGTGGCTACAGACGTCACTAACGATGCTTGGTAAGCTTTGCATCAGCATGGCCTTCAGCAGCATCTACATCTACACCTCGGAGCTGTTCCCCACGACTGCGCGCCATCGGTTGCTGGGCGTCTGCTCCATGTTCGGGAGAATCGGCTCCATAGTGGCTCCTCAGACACCGTTACTGGTTTGTTATCTTACTGGTTTGTTATTTATCTTATCACTGACAGACATACACCAATATAAATGTGAATATAAAAGATAAGAACTTTGTGGACACCACGGCATTTTAGGGATTACACTAGATTCTAAACTTCAGTGGGGCCAACATATTGATAAATTGTCGAAATTTAGCTCTGTAGCATGTACCGCAATGAAGATACGTAGGTTAATTAATATGGATACTGCCAGATTAGTATACTTCAGTTACTTTCATGATGCAATGTCGTATGGAATCTTTCTGTGGGGAAATTTTGCCGACATACAAATGATCTTTGTGCTTCAAAAGAGAGCTATTAGATTAATTTATAATTTTAGGACTAGGGATTTTATAAGGAAAAATTTAAAGAAATTGACATAATGACTGTTGCTTCTCAATACATATACGAAAACTTAATGTACGTTCATAAAATAATAATTTGTTTTCTATAAAAAGTGATGTTCACAATTTTAATACTAGGAATAAAAATAAATGAATGCCTGTCATTAGACTGCAAAACGTTAATAAATACTAATTCAGGGGTCTTTGTGTGCGCTTCTACAATAAAGTTCCAAGCAAAATACAACAACTAGATATCATGCAGTTCAAATCTACTATTTGAAAAAAAATCATTGAAAAGCTATATTATAAGGTATTTGATTATATATGAGCTGATGAGTTTCTTGCTCGTTCTGCTTATCAGCTAAAAAACGTCCTGAACGAGTGGTAGGGGAAAAAATTAAAGAAGTCTATGGGAATAGAGATTATTTTTATTTTGACTAAGAGTTGATTTTATATACAGCACAAAAATTACGGTGTTTGGTATGCCATTACGTATTTCAACCAACTTAAAAAGACTAATCTTCAGACGGTGACGATAATTGTAGTTTCTTCGTACTTCGGAAGGCAGTTTAAACTATCGGTCCCGTCTTTAGTCGTATCCCCAAAGGCCTGTTCCTATGTATTTTATTCAACGGAGAAGAACAGGTAATCGATTGATTCATCTTAGGGGCTAAGGTCCGTCTCATCAAAATCTATCTACAACAATGCTGGCGTTTTAACAGTGGAGAAATTGTAACTTCAATGTCCAGTTGTATAGACTGGAAGCTCATCATGACTACTTTATAATCAAGCAGACTACTGCGAATGTCTATGTAAAAACATGAAGATATTCGTTGAATAAATATTATAGATTGTCCGGTTTCCCTACAGATGAAGTACATGGCGTCGCTGCCGTACCTGATATTCGGTGTGATGGCGGGCGCGTCGGGGCTGCTGATGCTGCTCACGCCGGAGACGCTGCGGGTGCGCCTGCCCGACACCGTGCACCAGGCGGAGACCATCGCCAGCAAGACCGCCGCCGGCGGAGAATAGATATTATTTTCAATAGTGCATTTTTTCCTATAAGTATTTATGGTTTTGTATCGTTAAAAGAACAATTTATGTTAACTATGTGATATCAGAGTAGCTTTATAATGTCAATGTACTAAAAATTACATATTTTATATATCACCGAGGGCTTTGTAGCTATAATAAAATAATAATATCGCCCAAAATAACTAATATATCTTTGTATAGCATTAAAATCCATGATTAGAATAGCAGTAACTCTAAATAACTCATTTTTATTTAAATAAGTCAGAGTGACGGTATTATTTCTAACGGTAACCCAAACGTCTGTACACCACGACGAATGAGCACAGACTACGCTCTGAAACGGTATAGGTAGTGGGTAATATGACTTTTATGGCTTATCTATGAATATGACACCGTTAGCAAATATCGTGATTTTCTTTGAAGGATTGATATTTACTATTAAAAATAAAAATGGTATAATTAATTCATATCTAAATATCCGTATTTATTCTAATATTTAGCTAGCAATACATACATATGTAGATATGTATGTTGATAAAAATCGGTCGTTTTAATTGATATACCAACAGTTATATCTGTTATATATAAAGCTTAAGTATAAGTACAAAAGATAAAAACGTTAAGAAGTTACTTCAATGGGATGACGACTAATCTTTGTTTATATTTCTGTATTTTTTTATAATTAGCGTTATAATTAAATTACTGCGATACATTGGATAAAATGTCACATGACGTCACGCTTTAGTACATTTTCTACAAAATTGACGTAGACGCTAAGTTCCCACTCCTCAACTTTAATGCCTGTTGTTAAATTGAAATTTTAAAATACTTATCCTATATTTTTATATTATCTAACTGATGGACTAAATAGAATTTCTTTTTTTAATTACTCAGCCGTCAGCCCTATCACATGTTTTTACCAGTCCAAAAGATTTACTTACATTACATACGCAATTCAATATAACGTGAACTTAAAGAGTACCGAGAATCGCGCGATGAGGAAGTACTTATTAAAAAAAAGAAAACACTAAAAACACCTTGCTAGGTGGCAATTCTAGCAAAAGTTGATTTTTGCAGGAAACGAATGGACCTTTTAACCGACGTAATAAAAAACTGAAATCTGCGAAGTTTCAAACTGAGATATGAATACAAATATGAAAAGTAAAAATAAAATATGAGTTGTTTATTGAGTTTTGAAAATTAATTTAATTTTATACATGACAGAAAACCGGCAGGGTTGTCATGGAGAAATCAAAAAAGTACCGTAGCGACATCTAGTTTGTTTTCGGGAACTAATGATTTTTTTTTAAATACTTCCTCTTTGAACTTGCTGTGTGTGAGTTAGCATCTAATGTAATGTATACCAGTGTGGTGCTTTAATTGATAACGATACAGTGTATTTCAAAAAGTGAATCACGTATAAGTGATCTGTATTGGAAACGGGAATCTTTAGACCATATTGTTGTTTCCACTTTCAATCACCACGTCGGTGTCAGTACGGGTAATAATTCGCAGTTCTAACTTCGTTTCGTGTTCTATAAACCACTGTTATTGGTTACGTGTTCGTTAGGGAGTATCGTCATATCCTATGACGGGCGTCTACTGTGAGCAGATTATGTTCTTCCGTAAAGTTATTTCCGTTAGAGTTGTTTTAAATGACTACAAAAGCAGAGATAGTATTTGATGTTGTTACTTGTGAAATAATTAATATTACTGCGACTTAAAAGCCTTTTATTTTATGTATAATAATTTTATGTAAATAAGTAATAACTAAATAATAATACCTTTTATTTAATACTTATTAAAAAGTGAGTACACGGCATAATACTCATAATTGTTTATGATTAAGGTAAAAAAAAAATTACTCATAAACACGATTTACTTGCATTAATAAAATAAATAAAATCGAACGTTTCAATGAGGAAGTATTAAAAAAAAACATTAGTTCCTGAAATCAAACTAGATGTCGCTACGGTACGTTCATGATTTCTCCATGACAAACCTTCCGGTTTTCTTTCATGTTTAAAAGTAAATAAGTACTCATATTCTATTTGCACTTTTTCATATTTGTATTGATATCTAAGTTTCGAACTTTTCAAATTTCAGTTTTTAATATGTTAGTTAAAAGGAACGGAAATGACTGGCTTCGGTCCATTCGTTTCCTGCAAAAATCAAGTTTTGTGAGAGTCGCCATCTAGTGGTTGTGCTTTTTTAGTGCTTTCTTTTTTTTTAATACTTTCTTATTGCATTTTCCTAGCTAAATATGCCTTTGAAGTATTGAGAATATTCAATAGAAATGAGTTCAAATTAACTTTGTTATTATTTCCATAAAAATGGATATGTTTTCTATTAATAGAGCATAAGCATCCTAATATATGAAGAGCTTTAATATATGTGTAGTTTAGGAATTAAGTACTAGGTACCTATTAAATTAAGATTTAAGAAATACTACAGGAATGTGTTAGATTTTTTTAAAAGTTATTATTATGTAAGATTAAGATTAGAATGAAAGACACGAGATGAAATTTTAGTAGTTCCTTGAGCAGTAAAAGTACGTGTTACCTGTAATACAAAAGATACCTTCAGATTAAATAAAATAATGTAAATCTCAATGATATCTTATTTTGTGTTTGTCGCTATTAAAATAAGCTTTGTTATTCGTAAATCTATATTAATATTTTTCAGTGATACGTTTGATTTACACTTCGGCTTTTACTAAATCATTTACCATTAATAATGATAATGCTCATATGATACGGATTTGAAGAATGAGGGCTGAATACTTCTGTGATTTCTATCAGTAACTTATTGAAATCTATCTTCATAAAACAAATAAAAGGTTTTTAGCGAAAAAGAAATAAAACCTGTATAAAGAAATTCAAGAAAACTTTGATTGATTTAAGGTGCAAAATGAAAGTATGGTTAACTCAGTCTTCAATTTTTTATTGGCCTTTGCTAACGCAAGTAACAGTTCTCGATTTTTGAGTGGTTTTTATTTCTTTTTCAAGATATTTTTATTGTGTATATTCATTTGTTTTTCTTACAGTAATATTTTTATGCATCTAATTAATTATAAAACCATTGTTATAGTTGTTCTTGTCGATAAATAATTGTATCTGCTACTCGTGCGAATTACCATGACACCTATCCTAATCTATTTCTCCCAATAAAAACATTTTTTGATAATTTATGATGTAACGAAGCTGGGACCTAACACCGTCTCTGATACACGGAAAATTTTTACGGATATGGTTTTAAGATAATAATTATAAGAAACAATCGAAATTTTCCTAATTCTCATTCCACGACTTAAAGAATAAGCCCCCAGGTGACATGTTAACTCGTGCAAGTTATAATTTATATTTTTTGTGGTGTTTATTTTGAGTAATTAGTCGTGTGATATATTTTTATCTGTGACAGCTAATGATTCCTAAAATTTTATTAAATAACATTATTCTATATTTTTATCTTTTATTTTACATCAGATGATTTTTATTCATAAATCTAACATTACTTAATAATAAGTAGCTTGTGTTATGAAAATCTGAAAAAATTAATATACTATTATCGGCCATTTCCGAATTGTGAAATGGCTTAGGTTCTATTTCAAGTGGAACCGAATCAAATCTGGAATATCGTTGTAGCGACTTTCCAATTGAAAATAATAATTGAACAATTAGCTTTTGGGCAACATTTAAAACATTCAACGTGACGTCTGATTGAAAAGGCGTTATGTATGTACCTATATAAGGATTGCGTTAACATAAACAATTGTGAATCGAGCGAGTTGTTTCACGGTGAAAAATATCTTCAAGCTTCTGCTACTAGTATTATTAAAAAGGTCCAAATAATGAATTACATTGCGAAAAAAATAATTTCTTTACTAGTAGAAATAACGAAGACAAATGATGCGATTATAAAATGTTGTATATAGATAAGTTTAAAGAGAGATACAAGGTTTGTTTAATTTATTTAGAGCACAATAACTTGCTGTTGAGTGTACTTATAAAAACTGTATGCGAAATATATCGACTATTACGTTATCGATAATTGTCATTTAGAATTAAAGGTCGTATAATCGATAAGATAATAGAAAAGGCTATTTTTGTTTTTCGACTTTACGATTTGTGTGTAGGCAGTAGTGTATAATAAGCGAATCTAAAACAAATTTTGGACAATATATTACTCATAATTTATAGAATTACATGTTAGGTATAGTAATTGATCAAAGACTGGATTGGAAAAATCAGGTAGAAAAAGTTTGCAGTAAAATTAACCGATTTTCATTTGCTCTTCATAAATTATCTAAGATAGCTACTAGGGGTACGGCTCTTACTGCGTACTTCGCTTATGTAGAATCCGTTCTTAGATACGGGCTTATCATATGGGGTAACAGTACAGACATTAAAAAAGCCTTTGTTGCTCAAAAAAAATGTATTAGGGCGATTTGTGGTGCTGTACCTGATGAACCGTGCAAACCTCTCTTTAAATGTTTTAACCTTACCTTGTTTATACATTTTTGAAGTCGCTAAATTTGTAAAACAAAATATGTGTCACTTTAAACAGGCAAAAAATGTATATATACGCAATACCAGAAATTGTGATAGATTGGTTACTGATATCACTCCAAGGAGCGCGAGATTCCAGAATAACTGTTATTGGATGTGTATTGTGCTTTTTAATAATATCCCCCTTAGCATTAAGAATCTTCCATTTAATAGCTTCAAAAAGGCACTATTTATTTGGTTGTGTGATAATGCTTTTTATTGTGTTAGGGAATATTTAAATCATACAAATAAGTAACGAATGCATATGTTGTGAATTGTGTAATGTCTTTTAATGTGTGATATTTTCGTTTGTTTGTTATTTTTTTTTCTCTTCTATTGGACATTATCTACTTTTATATTGACACTGATTTTATAATTTAATTTGTTTGACATTCTTCAAGTGGGAATAATTATTGTACTCTATAATAGTTTTATGTAACAATGATATTTCTAATTTAATCATTTTGACATACATATATCCAATGTAATTTTATCAATATTTGCATGCTATAGTTGATGGCTAAATGGGATGAACTCAAATTTTAATTCAATCTACAATGTACCTCATTTAAAAGCAAATAAATCTAAAAAATTGACAAAGGTTTTATAACATGATCAGAGTGACTACTGACTCTCGTCGACTCCATTGAAGCATTCAGGTTTACAATTCAAATCAGGATTTCGGAAGGTCCCTTTTATGGAATGTTCCTTACCCAAAATAACCCTTTCAAAAAAATTGAAATCGAGACGAGAGGTACAGCTTACGATGCGGTCGTAAGCTGTACCTCTCGTCACGTCATAACTCGTATTGTACGCAGAAAATAATTGTGTATATATGTTAAAACACATGTATCTATGACGATTTGCAATTAAAGGTTTGAAAGGTACTGCTTATTGTGACCTGATTAATCATTAAAAGTGTAGTAACGTAAAGGAACCATTTAATTTGGTCGGTGTATGGTTTAAATATTTTTACACTATTTTGTTTTGATTACTTTTCAGAGGGCAAGTGATTACGTTGTAAATAGCCCAATTACTTATTGATTTATTTACCGTGAATTATGGGAAATAAAATATGTGAGCTATTCTTTTTCCTCTGTGCTGGTTATAAATTAAATACGAATGCATTTCCGTTGTCATTTGAAGAAAATATTAAAATAATTGCAAAGGAAACGCGTGCGTGTGTTCGGTTTAGATATAACTCAAAAAAAAAAGGTTATATTACTCGTTCTTTAATAAAAAATATTATTATAGGTATAACTGGCTAGCAGGTTACGTTAGGAATATTTGATCCTATTCAAAATTTATACTATACTTTTTATGGCACACAAAAGAAAAACAAAATTAACATAACAATAGTAGGTAAATTACTAGCAAGGGTGTGCCAACCAGGCGGTGATCAAGTAGTAACCGGAGACTGACAAGTGCATAATTGTACAATTTAATGTGAATTAATATTAACATTAATACATATAGGCATGATATTAAAAATATAAAAATAAATAAACAATATCATATATGTAATACATATAATATACATTCGTAAAAAAAAAAAATATACAAATAATTTAATAACCATATTTCCAAAAGTTTCTAGTAGCACATTAACCGAACAATCATTTTCTTGCCTAAAGAATTCATTTATATTGTGAAACACACGGACAGAGTAGACTAGTATAGTAGTGTATGAGTAGTGATTTTTCTATGATAGATTTTTACGACCATGTTTTACAGAATTATATCTTAACAAAAGATAGGCATGTTGATTTAATTTTGAGCATTCATGGATTGTTCAGATTCATAACAGACGTGTTGTCAGCCGCTGACTGACTGATCAATGTCTCAAATAATAGGTATTAAAAGTTCGGTAGTCTTAAACGGTCTTTACAACTCCCAGCCTTTTTATCATTTAAGTGATTTGTTTTATCATCCGTCACCTATTCCGATGTTGATGGTGGCCACAAACAAACATGAAATCGTCATCATCCTGACCAGGTCAGGCCATGCGGACGAACTCGCTAAAAGAAATTGAAACTATGCTGAAAATTGGTAAGTTTTTCTTAACTACATACTAGCATGCTGCATACCTTAACCCAAATCTCTGTGCACGCCCCTGATACAAAGTATAACACAGAGTCGCTCCCCGCTGTCTGTACGCTGAGTTGTTTTAATATACATAGCGAATTTTAATATTGTTTCCTTCAATATACAGAGTGATTCAAGAGGAACGATTATATGTATAATACAGGAGCATGCGGGCGAAGCAGCCGGCGCAAAGCTAATGTACAATTTAATATATTTATTAGTTGATTAATAAAACTTTAATCGTTTACCTTCAAAGCCAATAAATTTATTATCTTCAGGTCTTTAATATTTATCATTACCCTTATCAGTAATTAAATTTGCAGATTAAGAAAACTTTTATTGGACGATTAGCTAAAACAATCATTTGGGTGAAGCTCGCATCAGCGGCTACCCAGTCCATTATTATCGGACTTTCAATTAAATATCAGTATAATAAAAAATAAAAATCATCAAGTCAAAAAACTAAATAATTTTGTATTTAAACAAGAACTACAAAAAGCATAAAAAAGGGTCTTCCCCATTTTAACATGTCTGCGAGTAGAAAAGGCAGCGTTATGCCTACCGAGACGCCGGTGGACTTGGATGACATCCTGGTGAACGAGCTGGGACAGTTTGGGAGGTTTCAAATGACCAATCTGTTGCTGGTGGCGATACCTATCATCATGTCAGCGTTCATGAGCGAGTACATCTTCTCTGCTGCAGCTGTACCACACAGGTATGTCATATTATAAATAACAAACTCTCTATTTGACTCTATTCACAGTATAGATCTGTACTCCAGTAGTTAGGACATTATTCTGATGATGAAATGGGTAAAAATCTTTGAGTAAATAATATAATAACTTAGACTAAGTAACAGTAAGTAAATGGCTTAAAGTTCTCAATGTGGTTTAGAAAAGATGTTTTATAGATACGAGTATTTTAGAATAGGCAAATATCGGGCAATATTGCACTTGAGTCAAATACAAAGATTGGTTTTATGTTTGATATAATGTCAATTATTTTTCAAATTCAATTGTTATTCATAATGAAAACATGCTTCTAGAGATCCACCATGTCCCTGAATTGATAAATTTTTATTGATCAAATATAATAACAATTGATTATTACATTTCATTGATTTTGCATTAACATGCTTTACTGAAAAATATTCTTAATGAAAAAATACTTAAAAAATACACTTTATCTCTGGTTGTCCTTTTCGCGACCCAAAGAACATTCGCCGGAATTCCCATCTCAGAGTACCAGAGTGCCAAATATAATAATAAATTGTTAATTTCGGAACTACATTATTTTGTAATTTTTTGATTACAGTAAAACTAATAGTGAGTCTATCAACTGTTCCGTTCTTTAAAATAAGAATCCAACGCGAATGTTTAAAAGATTTCTTCATATAATATACACGCAGGAAAATCTTTGAAAGGCTAAAACTAATTTGACTATTTATTAATTATTTTGTATATCAATCGGGTTAAGAATCTAAGATATGTATATCATGTCTCAAAGAAAAAATAAAAAATGACTTCTATCTCCAGATGTATGATATCGGAATGTGGGGAAGAGCCACGTGGTCTAACATTTACTCAAAACTGGATAAGTAATGCGATCCCGGAGACTAACAATGGTTTCTCAAGCTGCGAACGATTCGCGCCTGCCGGTGGTACGGGATCTCTGGCCTCATGCCCTGCAAACTTATTCGACCAAAGCAACACTCAACAATGCGAAGCTTTTGTTTACGATAGAGAAAACTCAGTTGTCTATGAAGTAAGTGTTAAAAGTTCTTAATAAAGTAGGAAACGTAGCTTTAAAATATGATCAAATAATTTGTTTTTTTTTATAGTTTGATCTAGGTTGCCAGGAGTGGATGCGTGCATTGGCCGGTACTCTCAGTAGCGTTGGTACTTTACTGGTACTTCCAATCACAGGATACGTGTCCGATAGATTCGGGCGGAGGGTCGCACTCGTCATCAGTGTTTTCAACCTTGCCCTATTTGGCCTCATCAGGGCCTTCTCCGTCAACTACCCCATGTACCTAGCGTTGCAGCTATTACAAACTACGCTTGGTGCTGGTACCTTCAGTTCTGCTTATATCTTTGGTACGTATTATCACAAGATCATTCATTTAAATTGCAAACATCACATACATTTTAGACATGATATTATGCGTTGTTTAGGTACCTCCGTTACTAAATATGTAGCAATGCCACATAAATATTTGTTTATAAATCTTAATATGTTTCCGTGTTAAGATTTATAAATAAATATTTATGTGTTTAGACTCGTTAAAAGAGTAAAGTCACCAAATATGGAACGGTACACCTAAAATGGAACACTTAATTTACTTGCTTAATAATTCTTTGTAGAAATTTAGAAAGCACCGCATATTCCCTGTTTTCTCCTATTAGGAATAATTAAAGCAGGTATTTCAATAATATTAATAATGATGCTACATTGTCACACCATTTTTAACCGTTAAAGTTTTTAACATGAAATTTTTCAATTTTAACTTGAAATTTACAACGATAGTATAGCAATTGGCAGTCTTATCGCTATCAGTTTTACCAGACAACTTTTGGATGTAAGAGTACATAAATTCAAAATAAATAAGTGACATTTAGTAAAGATGCATTAATACTTATAAGATACATAAATATAGATAGTGTATACATAAATATATACATAAGATATATACTAATAACATCGTCATCATCACCAGCCCTTTTACGTCCCCACTGCAGGGGCTCAGGCCTTCCTTATGGATGGTTGAGGAGGAGGTTTTTTATTTTATTATATTGTTTCGACTGGCTAAGATAACTCCGACTAGTGAATATCGAGTTACTTCTTAAATATTTCACAGAAGGTGATCTAGCACAGTTTAATGTCTATGTTCTCTACATTGTCTTATAGTTTAATTAACAATTTAATATATGTTGCTTCTTTTATTCAAGCAACGGAACTGGTCGGTCCTAAGTTCCGGGTCTTAACAAGTGCGACGTGTTCCTCTATGTTCGCGGTGGGTCAAGTAATCCTCGGCAGCGTAGCGTGGCTAGTTCAACCGTGGCGATACATGATCATGGCCATTCACATTCCCTGCTTCCTCATCATCGTCTATTACTGGATACTCTCAGAGAGCGTCAGGTGGCTGCTATCAAAGGGAAGATATGAAGATGCAAAGAGGGTGCTGGAGAAAGTGGCGAGGGTCAATAAAAGGCAAATAAGTGAGAAATCGTTGAACGCATTGATGAATCCTCCGAAGACTCCAGTTGTGGAAGAGAAAAAGGTATTGTTAGATACACTATGGTACTTGAATGAACATGTGCTGTGTCACCATTTGGCAAACTCAGATAGAAACTAGATAGTCCACTAAAGCAAACGCTTTTCTTGAATGATTTCCGAACTTATATTTATTAATGGCTATTTATTCTTAACCTTGTGTCATTTACAAAAAAAGCAAAAATATGTTGGCGAAATCAGATGTAAATAAATAATTTAAAATAAAATTTGCTATCGCTTATATGATAAATGTAATATTTATTTTTAGGATGAACCAAGCATGATTGTCACAATAGCAAAGTCCCCTGTACTACGGCGGCGTGTTATCACAACCCCCATCTGGTGGATCACCACCACCTTCGTGTACTATGGTCTGTCAATCAACTCGACTAGCCTGTCCTCCACTATGTACTTAAACTACATCCTAACATGTGCCATTGAAATCCCCGGCTTCTACACCGCCGTACTCTTGCTGGATTGGATTGGCAGGAAGTCTACTCTCTGTGGAGGCTTCTTCTTGAGTGCTGCGTGCAACATCGCATTTGCTTTCATTCCAGCAGGTATTTTACTACGTTTATTCAAATTATTCTTCTTTATTTATTAACTTTGGTAACAAGATTTTAACAATTTAAATAATATTAGTTATGTTTTCATAAAGATCAAGGGGTATTATGCTAGATATGGTGTCAGAATACACAACACACAATCAATACATAAACAAGTTGATAAGAAAATCATAAAGAAAAACTCCGAGCGGCTATTAAATACTTTTATTTCATTGTAATTCCCTTATCATTTGAAGGTACAATAATTAAGTATGCGCATCTAACGTTGATATTGTTGATATCATGATAATTAAATGTATCTAAATCGCACGCGGTATTTATAAGAAAAGCTGAAGATTGTAAAAAGTACACATAAATTAGTGCTATTGTTTTTAAACTAATAATTTTGAAAAGAAAACCTACAGGGTTTTTTCTATTCACTTAAATGCCGATGGGTATATTTGTCGTAATGAACCTATTGTTAATTATTAAATATATTAAGAGACTTTTTAACAATTATTTTGCGGTCACGAACATTAAAATTACCTAAAAATCAAGTTAATAAAATAAACCTTAAAAAATAAAGTGCAATGAAATTTAGAAAAATGCGACGTGTTTATCTTTAGATAAGTTATATTTGCGACATTTTTTTAATTCAGAAATCTTATGATCCTTTAAAAAACAAGAATTTTAATCTTGACAGAAGAAACAACAATTACTGATGGTAGTTGGTATCTACTTTTTTATATAAACTGAAATGTTCAGCGCCGTGTAGCCGTATTATTGAAAGTTACGGACGTGTATTTGAATGGTACTGATTCATTAACGAGCCAGTAATAACATTAAACAGCTATTTTAAACATTTTTTAAGGATATATCTATTGGGTGTGTTTAATACACCTTGCTGTGATGGTTATTCAGCTAATCGACGTCTAGCCGTGCAAATGAATGGCGCTATTTTTTTTTGCAAGTGAGATTCGTTTTAGACTTCCTTACCCAAAGGATAAAAAACGGGACAACCCATTACTAAAAGTCCGCAACATGTTTTTTTTCCTTTCCGGTAAGGAACCTTGCGCAAGTTCGACTCGCACTTGACCGTTTTTTTGACAATATCATTTCCATCGAATACCAAGGTCTATGCACACAGCTCATATGTTTATTTCTATTATTTTTTTGGGTCAGAATATACTGCTGTAAGTAATCTTCTGAGTTTATGAGATTGTGTGAATTGACATTTTGCTTAGCGCGTTTATCGTAACTTCCCTTCGTTTCTTTATCACAATCAAAATTCTATTTGTCGTCAGCCTACTTTTGCTTTCAGACCGGTTTAAAAGAAGTCGTTTTGTTATATGAAGTGTCCATACATTCTCCCTTGTCTGTTTTCTATAGTTTACAGCAGGCCTACCGCGTGACGAAATTGGCTTCGATATTGAATAAAATCAGACCCAATACAATTTAATGCCTAGCATTCAATCGCAATGGGTTCAAACCGATATATTTAATATATATATACCTATGTGATCTAACAATGCATATTGAACGTTGAGTGCAATCCAATGTCAACCAATGTAGTTATACGGCAGATCTTGCAGCCGTCTTTTTTCGTTGATGTGTCCCAGCACTTGTTCAATCGATTATAGTTCAATACAGCTAATTTTTTTCATCCTTCTCCAGCCCCACATAAGTCCTACACTACTTCATATAATTTTCTTGAGTATATAGACTGCCAATATTGCCTTGCTACTCGTCATTGTCAAAATTAAAGTCATGAAACTTTGTTTCAGATATTTTAGACGATATAATAAATAAATATTCGTTTTTAAAATGCTAAGTGACTATACCACGCGGAGGAAGTCGCGGGCAAAAGCTAGTATTATATGACTGTACTTCTATCTCGAGATTCCATCTTTTCATTCTTGTGTATTTTACGGTAATTTCTCTCCAATTTTAACATAAAGTTTAAGGTGAAAGTTAGATGCCGGCAATGCTGTATTGTGCGATTAAATAAAAAAATCTGTATCCGAGATTCAAGTTGTCGCCATCTTTAAGATTTCTGGTTGAGTTAATAGATAGTGGGGTGTTTGTTCTGGTATCTACAATATTAAAACTAGAATTTTAACTACTAATTTAAGGATATTATTAGTAAATTTGTCTATCAAGTATAAATTGATTGATATCGTTGAATTCTTTGAGAATGTAATGTATTTTTCTCAATTTTGTAAATTATTTTATTTTGTTTATATTGTATTTACGTAGGTTATTGTATAAGTATTACGTTTACATTATTCGCGCTCTAAAATATTTTCTATTTTGTATCTTATCATAAATATTTTAGCTTAATCTTAATAAGGTAATTTTATATTTATCATTACGATAACTTCTTTGACTAATTATCGTGTTCTTTGATAAATTTATGAATCAATTAATAACATGTGAAGGAAGTAGTATGCTCTTATAGGAAATACGATTTTGTGCGTAATTTAATATGACTTATTTTTTTAAAGAAATATCCTAATAAATATAATTGGACTTTTTTTGGATTGGATTGGATTGGAAAAAGTGGATTTTATAATAATTTTTAATTAAGAATATTTCTTTGAACTTATTGAAATATTAGCCTTTTAGTTGTGTGTAATCAGCAGTGGTCGGAATTAGGTAGAGTTATTCATGTACTTACACTGATTTCATACAGCGAAAGAATAAAGTGGATATGCCTCAAATCCCGAGATTAATTTTAAAGAGCAAAAAAAATCCTGTGATTTTTTAAATAAAACGTTATTTACTTTTACACAACGTTGCCAAACTTACATCAATGAAAGAAAGAAATAAAGAAAGAAGAAATAAAGAAATCCCGGGAAGGTCCACATTAATATCAACATTTCGATGCAAGTACATAAATAACTCTACCTAATTCCGACCTCTGTAATCAGTAAGGACAACACTTAATGCACTCTGAAATTGCTTAAAATGGTCTCACATGTTGTAAAGTCGGTAGAAATCTGCTTTTTTGTCGGTAGAAATGTGTCTACAAATAGGAAAATACTGTTGGATATGATTTCGAAGATATTTAGAAGTGCTTTGTTCTTGATATTGGGAAAATGTTAAAATTATCAGCGAATAATATAAATGAACAGGATATGCAACTATGTAATTTGTAGAAAAGACTAGATAAAAAATCTTATAAAGTTGCCCTTAGAATATAATCAGTCGAGCATTGTTACTTAAAGACGAACCTTAAATATATCTAGGCAAGGACATTCGAGGTGCCATAATATTTCAAGCTTTCTGAAAGGGCATTTTTCATTCCATCACCATTTTATTTTTATTAATGCAATTTCAATTTCTTTTGACAGTTATGACGACTCTGAGTGGTAGCACCTCTGGAGTTCAGGGTTCGATTCCCGGTCTCAAGTCTAGGTGTTGTGTTACCTTCGTTGCTACAGACTTTCATAATACAAACGTATCAGTTTCATTAATATAAGATCTGAGCAATAAATGTCATGTTGTCTTATTAATATTTATTATTATTCCTGAAACTTTCTTCATAACCTAATAATTTAATGTTTTTAGAAAAAGTAGCTTAAAACAACTTGTTATACTTCAAACTACTTTACGACATCATATTTATTACCAGCTGCACTACAGCTAAAGCCAATATATTTTTTTTTAAATAATATGATGTGATTATTGCAGAGCTGACGATCCTCCGACTGATAGTGTACCTGTTGGGCAAGTTCGGGATCTCCCTGGTGTTCACATCGCTGTACCTGTTCACCTCGGAGCTGTACCCTACGCAGTACCGACACAGCCTGCTAGCCTTCTCTTCTATGATCGGCAGGATAGGATCGATCACTGCACCACTCACCCCAGTATTGGTAGGACACACGTTTTATATTATAACCTTGATGAATTGACCAAGTGAGTTCCATAATCCATGTGATTTGCAAATTTCAATATTCGATTAATAGCGAAATTAAAGACATGTCCAACAGAATATTAAGCTGGCTTATGGGTCATGCCAGTGGGGATGAGTCTGCTCTAGACTACTTAACTTCGCCCATTGTTTTTTATAATGAATATTGTATATTGATTTGTTAATGAGTATGTATGAATCGGCAATCGGCATATTAACCACTTATCGAAAATGTATCTCTTACATATTTCTGATATCGTAATAGAATGTGACCACATATTCTAATGAAGTCACTTTTCAATAAGACTTCTCTGTGTGAATAAAACAGGGAGAAAAAAGCAGCCCTTGCTGAGTTTCTTGTCGGTTCTTCTCAGTACAAGGTCGCCCGCCGTAGTTTTGCGAACTAATGGCGTAGTTTTCGACTTTCACGAGTGTTCTGTAAAAGCTTAAACTGAATAAACAATTTTGATTTTTGATAATAAGGCAAATACAATCAATAAGATGAAAATGTTATTTTGCATGTCAGATGTATTGTACAAAATTTAATTTCAACTGAATCCATAAAGAAATGGTTGACATTTAATAAACTACAGGAAAGCTCAGCCCGATTTCAACGATTCTTAAAAAAAAATTACCGCTTTTATGAAAAGTATTATTTTTCGCTTTTTTAAAGGTTGAAGTCGGTTCTATTTTATTTGTAATTATTACCAGAATTATTGGATTGGAACCTTTCTCTACTGGCACCTATTTATGTTTAGGCTTCGGCGAAGTTTTTGTGCTATTTATAGAAAGCAATAATATAAATTACTTTTACATGTCTTTATCAGATGGAGTACTGGCCTGGTATTCCCTCCTTAATGTTCGGCACCATGGGATTGCTCTCTGGTTTGCTGGTGCTGACGCAGCCGGAGACACTCGGCACCAAGATGCCCGACACTCTCGCGGAGGCCGAGGCACTAGGAAGACCAGCGTTCAGGGGGCAGACGAGCTGATCCCGAACCATTTTAAATAATATACCATAGTACCATAACTTTAGGCACATTTTATGGGCTTTATAAGTGCATAAGATTCACATTTGACCGTCCGCAGCTGCAGTTTTATGTTGTTGTCCTTACATTTTTTGAAAATTATTAACTATCTAATACAAGACAATATCGTTAAAACGTGCCGCGGATTTCTAAATAGATCGGCCTTCTTTAGATAATCATTATAATAAGATAGCAAATAGATATGTATATGTTTGCTATCATATGTGATGGCGCTAGGAAAATCCTTGATATTAAATTTGATTAAAACATAAAACAAAGTAATGTTATCATTAAATTGTCAGAATGCGTAATATTGAATCCTCGATATTGTATTAGGTACACTTGTCATAAATAGTCAACAGCACGTTAGAATTTACAAACCTGTCGAATTTTCCACTTGATTTTAAACTTCCATGTATTGAGGGTGGTGTTAGAAATCAACTGGAGAAATTTGATATATTGTGGTAACCTAACGCACAGCCGTGTGTACAACGAATGGTTGCACTAATATTAATAAGAGATATATGTCAAACGTATTATTAATGTCTTGTATGTTTGCCATAAATGTATATAGTTTCAATTAAATATTTATTTAACTTTAGTAACGCTTTTAATTTTGATATAATAACAAGTGACGTTATTTTTTACTTAATCAACAGAAAAATAATATTAGATCTCACCAAAAACATAATATGTACAAACATGCACAAGAATCGTACCGCAATTCTCGTGCCGTAAAAAAATATGAAATCAATGTAAACCAAGTCGATTAAATCAGAACCTGTCTTTCTGTGGGAGCAGCTATCCATCCATCCTTGTCATAAATTTCGCAATTTTTCTAGGGAATTATATTCCATATATACTATTTACTATTTTTATTTTATGTATTAGTGTCTATGATCCAAGTTTGTATTGCGTATACTGTACTATTCGTTGTATTGCTAAATAAGAAAAAACAAATTAAAAAATACACAAAGAAAAACAAAATGCTGCTATAAATGAAGTTAAATAATAATAATGCTACTGTAGTTTGCATCTATAATAATATTGGATAAATATTTTTATATTGAGGGACACTACTACTTTACATTTTCACTACTGGGTTATTAAAGAAAGGGTTATTTAAAAAAAAAATGTATTGCAAAAGTATAAGGACGACTAGATCTATATCTTTATTGATGCCAAGCAATCAGAACAGACTCGATGCATCGATAGCGGAGTAAAGTACTTTGTGGAGTATCAAAAGATCATACCTTTCGTGATTGCAAAGAGACTAGACCAAACTTAGTTAATCTGTAGCTGTATTTATCAATTGATAGACCAGGATTCAGTTGATGGGTGAGAAAGATCCAGCATTTCTTCTGAACCCTCTCTATAATATTTTATGTTATTCACATAATAAGGCGACTAGACGGGGCAACAGTATTCTAATGTACTTCTAATTGAACTGGAATATAATGTTAGTGTGCTTCTTTGATTTCTAAAATCTTTAGTAGATCGTATTGTGAAGCCCAGGAGTTATTACTTTTGTTAATAATGTGTTCATGATGTGGTTTAAAAGATAATTCCTCATCAAACAAAACACCTAGGTCTTTCACGGTGTGTATTCTATTCAATAGTGAGTTTGTATATCGTATGTTGAGAACGATAGTGGCACAATGCAAAAAATGCGATTTTGAGTAATGAGCGTTTAAATTTCAAGAAATTGTAATCAGCCCCTCTAAACAACTTATCGTCACAACGCCACCTACCAGTTTCTAAGCAAGCTACGTTCACAGAGATCTTTGCATTTTAAAGTTTACACTTAACAAAGAAAAATGTTGCCAAAAGTAAAAAATACGTCGTTTTTGGTTAGTGACATTGTCATTCTTAACGTGCGATATTATATGACTGATTAATTCTGCCTCTTTTACGACTAAACGATATAACACAACATTTGTTAAGATTCATATGATTTCATAAACGCCAATCAGGAATTATGTGAAGATCGTTTGGAAGCATCCTACTTCGAGTGTCATCCTTTCAAAATGCTATACAGTTATTAAACGTTCGAAAAACTAAAAACCAGGACTAATATTTCATATTGTTAGATTTTTTTATTATTTTTTATGCTAAATAATAACTGTGTTCAAAATTTGGAGTCTGAGTCTGCTAGAAGTACATTAGAATTTTGATGATCCATGAGTAAGCCAGTGACAAAATTATAGTTTTTTAAAATTATACTTGAACTAATTCTTAAAGTAATTGTTAAAATTTTCAGAATAACAATAAACTAACCATATTAAATTAATTAACCATAGTATTTTTAGGAATTCTAATCTATCCCCCCCCCTGAGGGATACCCAGAAGTAAGATCATTCCGAGCAGACAATTCACGATTCTTCCGTACAGCCTGCTGACACCCATTAAGATAAGTTGAGAATCAATCCGATGTCAACGATGACAGAAAAGGAGAGTTAAAAATGGCCTACAGAAAGTCGTGGTCAACTATATTGAAAGCATTTTAGTGTAGTAAGTAAATAGTAAGAATCACGTATAAACGTCGTTTGGATAGAATGCACTAGTATACCGGTTGAGTAAAGAGACTGCGGCACATGTGTATTAAATAAAGATGAATGAGAAAATTCATAAAAGTAAAGAATATATATGTCGGCAGGTAGTCAGAGGGGCCTATTACGAAGCCCAAATAGATCGTCCATATCGGAGGACTATCTTTAAAATAACACTGCAGGCGTGTATAACAACGTGGATGGCGGCAAATTGCATTTTGTTAACGAACTGTCAAAGTCAGTGTAACCATTCTTCAAAATTAAAAGTATTGGTGATCACGCTCTCTCTACAATCGAGTAATCGAGTAACTAGCAATTAAAATAAAAGAAACTAAATCAAACGATCTTCGTAAAGTTGATGTGACATATATATACTAAACAATGCAAAACAGAATACAATTATGGAAAAGGAAAGGTTATGGTAAGACCTCAAATCTCGGAGAGAATTAGAAGAGTAAAAACGAAGCGATCTTTAAGTTATTGCTGTGTTTAAGGATTAAAAAGAATAGAATATAGAAGCGATAGGAAAAAGTGACAGTCTCAACGGATACATAAATTTTGAAGACGCTCAAGCTTATTTAGATGTATGACACTTAGGTAAGAATAACAGCAATCAACATAGTCAAGCAGTGGGAGAAGCAGTGATCACGCAAAATTGCAGTCGAAAAACACACCAAGATTTTTAACCGCCGCTCAAAAGGATAGGTGGCAGCGTATTATAATTTATCCTGTCCAAATACCAATGGCTTCCAATAATTATTTCCGGAGATTTTTATGGGTTTACTACAAGACCATGTCGTCGACTCCAATCAGAAATGTGCTGAAGATCTACGTTAGTAGTGGCATTGCCTTTGACAGTCCCTCTATAAGTGCTTGTGTTTAAATTTGAAAATCATCTGCATACATATGAAGAAGAAGAAGAGAGAGGAAGAGTAATTGAATTAATGAAGTTAGTGAAAAGGAGAGGAGACAAAACGCCACCCTGCGGTACTCCAGCAGTTGTGTCGCAACAATCGGAGAAACAGTTTCCCACACTTATGCGCTGCCATCACCCGTACAGGTAACTATGAAACCAATCAATTACCGGTGGAGATACATTGAGAGAAACCAACAACCAATATGTCAAAATCCACAGTATTGAATGCATTACTAAATTCTAACAGTATTAATATAGTAAGCTGACGAATTTCCATACCCTCGTGTATATCATCTGCAATCTTGACAAGTGCAGTAGTCGTACTATAACCGGGACGGAAACCAGATTGAAATGGATTGAGCAGGCTGTTCAAAGAAAGGAATCTACTAAACTGTTGATGAACCAGTTTTTCAAGGACTTTGGATAGGAAGGGCAATATCTGAAAAGGAATGAGCCTTAGGCTTTTTAGGTACAGGAACAACATTAGAGTCGTTCCATACAAAAGGGTAAGGAGATGAGTAAATAGATTTATTCAGGAATTTGGTAATTATAAGAGGAAGGATATCTAGGACAGAAACAATCATATTACAACTAATGCAATCGCTACCAATCGTATTAGACGAAACCGCAAGTATATTCGGCTCAACGTCACACTCAGTGAATTGCTTAATAACAAAAGGGTTAAAAGATGGTTTTGGCGGCGAAGAAAGAGTATTTAGAGTTTGATTTTTGATGTTTCCATCTAAGGAAACAGACGAGCAGAAGTGACTATTTAAGTTATTAATATCAGTATTTGAGGAGAGGAAGGAGTTGTCTTTAGATTTGCCAATACCAAGCTTATTAAGAAAACGCCAAACTTTGACGGGGTCACCATTTTCAACAGATGCATGAATATGGCGTCTTTGCTTATTCTTTATCTAGGTATTGCAGCGATTCCTTATTTCTCTATAACAGTCGCGATTGGCATCCGATGGATTCTTTTTAAATTTAGCCATAGCACCTATCCTTTCTATCAATAAAGTTACGTACATCATCAGTAAGCCAGGGCGCCGGGACATGCTTTACACGTACGGTCGGATAGGTGCATGAGTATCCATAAGTTGAATAATCAAAGAATTAAACAGCTCAATCTGCTTGTCCACTGTATCAAGAACTTCAATTTCCGACCAGTTCACTTTACGACTGGAGAGGCAATTGGTCACCATCATAGTTCTCACTACCTCCTGAAATAGCAGCACTTCCAGGTTGTAGATCTCTATTTAACTAAAACAATCTTCGTCTTATATACTACTTAAATCTAAGAGTGGGATATCAGGGTACGTGATATGTGATGGCTAAGGAAGAACATTTATCGAACGTGAATTATTTGCATACTAGTGCATTCTATCCAAACGACGTTTATACGTGATTCTTACTATTTACTTACTACACTAAAATGCTTTCAATATAGTTGACCACGACTTTCTGTAGGCCATTTTTAACTCTCCTTTTCTGTCATCGTTGACATCGGATTGATTCTCAACTTATCTTAATGGGTGTCAGCAGGCTGTACGGAAGAATCGTGAATTGTCTGCTCGGAATGATCTTACTTCTGGGTATCCCTCAGGGGGGGGGATAGATTAGAATTCCTAAAAA